GGCCAGATTATTGCTCTCTTTTCTTTCAACTTCTCTTCTTCTCTTCTTCTCCTTCTCTCTTCCTTCTCTCTTCAAGAAACTACTTTCTTTCATATTTTTTTAATTCAGCAAATTTCTACTACTTTCATAAAAAGTAAAATAAATACCCAACTAATCAAGAAATCATTTGTTGGCCCAATACCTCCCAAAAGAGTTTGACTGTCCGACTCCCTTCAGAATAACCACCGGTGTATCGAGTATTATTCCTTAAATCATCAATATCAATATCATGGTTTCCACCAGAAAGTAACTGCAAATGGCAAATCATGGATAAAGTAAGCACATAATTAATAACATGAAAAAATTTGGCAGAACATTCAAGTAACACATTCCTTCAGAAACTTAACTGTATCTAAAACTATGAAAGAAACTTTGAGTTTTCAAATCAGAGCAATATAACATAGATTAGTATCCAAACACAGAAAAAAAGTTAAAAGAAATAAAGCATCTAGTAGTCGACATAAAAATGTGCTGAATTCTTAGCAGGTGGTGTTTATATTTCATTCTATGTCTTTACAGGTTGTGGGGTTCAATCATCTAGAGCAAGACTATCATGGTTGCAAGGATTTCAGCATCAGTTTATGGTTCTTTACAGGCTAGACAGAAAACTGAATATCCTGGCTTTTCTATCCATGATGTTCAAGTCTTCAAGAAAACTTGTTTGTGTCTACCTAATACTTCACTACATGATTATGTTATATGGGAGTTACATACAGATGGAATTGCTGGGCAATTTGGTCAAGACAAGGCCACAGGTATGGTCAAAGATTACTTCTATTGGACTATCCTTAAGGCTGGTGTTGATTGTGTGCAGTATTTGTCAACTGGGAAAGGGGAGAAAGAAGAATACAGGGTTCTACACCCCTTTATCAATTCCACATGAGTCTTGGCAAGAACTTTTTATGGATTTTGTTCTAGGTCTGCCCAAGACAGCAAGGGGTCATGATTCCATTTAGGTTGTGGTAGACAGTTTCTTTAAAATGGCCCACTTTATTCCTTGTAGTAAGACATTAGATGCCTCAAATGTGGCAAATGTATTCTTTAGAGAAGTCCGTTTGCATGTGTTCCTGTTACTATTTATTCTGATCAAGATATTTTTTTGATAGATGTCTGATCAAGATACGAACTTCATGAGTTACTTTTAGAAGACAATATGGAAACTCCTCGGTATAAAGCTGAATTTCTTATCTTCTTTCCACCCTTAGGCTGATGACCAAACTGAAGTAGTTAATAAAAGTCTCATTGATTTGCTGTGTTGCTTAGTTAGTGATCATACTTCTAGGTAGGATCTCATCCAACCTATGCCTAAATTTGCTTACAGTAGTTCAA